CAAATCTGATGTCAGTATTTTCTCAGTTGAGTCCCCTCTTCTAAAAGACTCTAGCTTGAGTCAGTTAACAAAACCTCCCAAGAATACTCCAAGGGAACTGCTTAGCTCTCTACACCCTTGGACTGTAACATACTCCACATAACCATTTACCATATATGTGTAACAAGTATGACAAATCCTTCTTTTAAAAATATAAAATAAGTGTATCTACCATGATTAAAGTTATTTAAAACTTAGAAATTCTCAGTTTCTGGAATTTTCTTTTAATTAAAAATTTTCCTATAAAATATATTTTAAGTATGTTCTTTCACCTCACTATTCACCCAACTTTGTTCTTTTTCTCTCAAAACAATGAAAATGAAGCCTACCGAAACACAGTAATCGGTAAAATGAATTATAGCGTAATGACCTTTGCATTTTTTTGACATTTTAGTGTGTGTGTGGGGGGGGGTCAGAGCTGGGAGCTGGTTCTCTTCTGCCACCTTCTCAGATCCAGAGATCAAATCGGGTTGCCAGGCCCACTCATACCTTTCTTCTCACTGAGCATGCTAGTCAGCCCAGCAACAAATGTAGATCAGAGACAGAAAATACCTCAGAGGCCTATTTCAGTCAACTGATTTTATACTTACGTGCATAAGTCTTCAATAAAGAACCCAAGGAATAGTATTCCCTGTATCACAACATAGCCTCCCTTCCACCAAGGGTCCTACGACAGATATTGGGGACACTGGAGAATGGCAGTACTACTGTTCATCAAAAGCACATATCCAAATACAGAGCTACCATATATATACATAGGGTCACATGAAGAGGCCGTGGGTTCTATACCAATACGGTGAGAAGGAACTAATTCCCGATGGCATGTTTATTACCTTTACTTAATGGTAATAAACTTTACTTACTTTGTGTTTTAAAATATTCAGTCTTTATTGCTTATCACCATTTATTACTTAAAGCTGTAACAAGTCTTTCCTTCTATTTTGTGTCTTTAACACACCTGTATTAAGAAAAATATTAAGCTGGGCATGGTGGTGGTCACTGTTAATCCCAGTAGTACTGAGGAAAAAAGGACTGGGTCTCTAGGAGTTTGAGGACAGCTTGGTCTATACAGAGAGTTCCTGGCCAGCCAGGGCAACATAGTAAGAGCCAGTATAAAAATCAACCAACCAACAGAAAACTATTAAACCATTAGCAGAGTATCTACTTACTGATTCCTCATCGCTACTTGCAATTGTAACAACGGTGGCCGTGAACTGCCAGGTTCCTACGGAAGATGTTATTCTGATCTCTCAATGGCTCACTTAAGATTATGTTTGTTTGTAGTTTCCAAGTGTGCATATACAGTCTTACCACGTTTGTGGATAACATGGGAAGTGGTACTTGCTGTTTTCAGGGTCCCTCCCTGCTAATGCCACCTATCAAACAATAAAAGAGTAAAGAACTTCTAGTATTTCTAGCTTACATAATGAAGGATTACTTTTGGACAGCCCAGTTTTCCTCCAACTGCTGATTTTATTCATGAAAATTTTAGGTAACATTAAAGTATCCAGTACCTGGAAACCCGAACACTATATTACAGATGGTCTTTAACTTGAAATGGCTAAGATTTCTAACTCTGTGATGGTATGGAAGTGGACTGGATTCAAGGGGATCTAGGAGAATTCACATTTGGTTTTTGCCCAGGCCAGTGACGTACAGCATGGCCCTTGTGATGCCAGGCGCAACAAACAGTGAGCCACAGTTCTTCATCAGCTACGTGACCAGGGTTAAGTAAGTGGTACTGCAAGGTGCAACGTCTGGTGGATGAAGTGTATCAAGTATAAGGTCCACGTAGGCTACTGTCAGTTTATGATGGACTGATTAGGATGTACTTCCATTTCCTGTCAAAAAGGACGTGTGGTAACAGCTGGACAACTGAGCAAAATTATTTAGCGTTTTGAAACTTCAGTGTTTTGGAAAGTATTAAAAAAAATCTTCAAAAAACTTAATGAGATAAAATATCTATAAAGATCTGAGTTCCTCATTTAAAATGCAAGTTGTATCCAGATAAAGGATAGACCACATTTCCTCAAGCTGAACACCAAATCCTTTTTTTTTAAAAATTATTATTATTTAATTTTTTAACCTATTTTACATATCAATCCCAGTCCCCTCTCCCTCTCAACCCCCACCCACTCCCCAGGGAGGGTTATGCCTTCCATGAGGGATCATCAAAATCTGTCAAGTCATTTGGGGTAGGGTCTAGGCCCTCCCCTGGGTCTCTAGGCTAAGGGAGAATTCTTCCATAGGGAATGGGCTCCTGAAGTCAAACTCCAAATCCTTAACAAGCTCTTCTATTGGCAGAACCACCAAACTAATTTTCAAGTTATTTTGGAGGATTGTACAATTGTGAGTATTCTTGCTTGTTTGCCACATAAAAATGGTTATGATTTAAAAAAAATTTAAGTGACATTTGGTAAATAAACTTATTTATGTCACACTCAAATAGGGTTTTATATATTACCACTCTAACATCTCTGGTGCAGCAATAAGACACTGTACACGTATCAGTCTGGATATAAAAAGTTCTCAGCGCTTCATTAATAGGTAAAATAAGAACAGTTCATAGCTTAAAAATATCGTCCCAAGCTAGTTTAACCCTTTAAACTAATAAACTTCCAGTTACGTACACAGTTTTATCGAGTGGTGTAGAAGACCTTCCACTGAATGAGTACATGTACAGCACAAACATCTTCCTATGTTTAAGGAGACAGGTTTGTTCTTTATTTCTTGAACTGAAACCCTGATATGCTGACAGCTTCATGACGGAAACAAGTATCTGAAAGAATGTACTGCAGAATGCCATTGCATTTTGGGACTAAGACATAATTCAAAAAAATGTCATCATCTGGGGCCTATGTTGAGTTCTTTGCGATCAGTTTCAATACTATCTTGCCTTAGTATTTTAAAAAAATTATTCAGCTAAAATTTTTAAACTATGGATAAAGCTTAGATTACTGGGCTCCAAGAAATAGTTTTTTTTTTTTTTTTTTTTTTTTTTTCTCCTGCCAGAGCAGAAGGGAGATGCTTATCACTTATATTGTACTCACAAATTAGCACAGAGATATGCACTAAGATTCAAAGCAGCACATCTAAAAGAAAACTTCCTACTGATGGAAAGCACCTTCTGGGCTCCTCTGGATCTTAGTGACTCTCATCTGGTACACAGGACCAATCCAAAGTGATGGAACTTAAGTCTTTAAACAAAAATTGTAAGTAAAATAGTAACTAATGAGTACAACAATAAAAAACACTTCCTGGTAAATAAAGCAAAAAGGGTCAGTAAGTTAAGCTGAAACATTAGCAACAACATTCTCTTTAAAGGGTGTCTGTCAAGGCACAGAAGGAGGCAGAATCAAGAGTAACCTTTGACATGTTTAACAGTCTAAAAATAACTTTAGTTTTATCTACCAAGTTTTAAAAGAGACATTTCTCCTCAGTTTTTGGAATAACACCATTTGCCCAACAATATTATGAAAAAGTTAACACAGCTTCCCATAGAGTCTAAATTATTTCTCAAGCACATCCCCCACCAGAGGAAAGGTCTAGTCTTCAAGAACACACAATCACGTGCACTTGTTATATTAATCTCACCTCTGCACACTCTGCTATGCCCTGTGACACTCTAGAGTCAGAGGTCATGGGCTGACACCAGGTGTCTTCCTTGATTGCTTTCCGCCTACCTTTTGAGACATGGTCTTCACTAACCCAGGAGCTCCTTTTTTCAAAGGTTACACTTGAGGCCACTGAGCCTCAAAGTGTGTCTGTCTGTCCTTTCAACTTGGGTGCTGGGGATCCACACTCAGATCATCATGTCTGCACTGCCAGCCTTTAGCTACCAACTAAGCTACTTCTCCATATTCCACGTTTTTAACATACATTTTTAAACATTAAAATTCCTAGACGCATAAAAATGTCTACTATATCTAAAGCTACGGTTTCTTTTGTGACATTTCGAAAATGTTCTGCCACTTGTCATTTCCCCATTCCCTTGAATTGATTCCCGAATGAACAGCTGACCAAGGATTTCTTACTATAATCCATATACCTGTATACCACAGTTAAACTCCAGTTGGAAACTAAAAGCTGGATTTTACTCAGACTCTGTTCTGTTTCTCTACTCGTGTTTAGGATCCTTCAAAGAGGATTCAGTGAATATGAAAGAAAATAGAAATCACTGACCATATGAAAGCTACCAAATGTTCAAAGTTTTCAACTGAGTATAAAAAAATACTACATATTCAATAGACAATTGCAAAACTTAAAATACCACATGAAACAAATGTCCTTGCATATTATATATGCATGTAATACATTATATGCAAGGACATTATGGAACTGGAGCACTTTACTCACATAATATTTTACACAGATAAAGAGAAATGAGCTGTGTTTTAACATGAAACAGTTCTGAAAACTTACTATCATTGCATGGATGGGCGTCCCTGTACAAACAGCCATAGGCTATGTGAAAGTGTCATTTGTTGCTAGGTTCTAAAAATATCTTCCAGGGAAAACAATTTCTAAGATGAGCTATTTACTTTAAACTGTTAGTCTAAAGCTGTTTTATTGAAAGGTTTTGATTCCAAATAAATATAGTAACTAGAATACATTAATCTTCATCTAAAAACAATGTTTGTTTAAAATATCTCATGGTATTTAAAGTCATAAACGTGAGCCTACTCTAAAACAGCTTCTCTTTAAAGTTTTACAGCAAGATATTTTAAACTATACTGTCCATTTGACTTTTAGGTGTATGTATTAAGATGGGCAACCTTCAGAACCTCTTTCCAATTCTGTACCTCAGGCCACTTTGTAATTCTCAAACCCTGTAAAGTTAATTCTTAATTTTATGTGCCACTTATGAATTTGTTCAGTCTTCAAATATCTGTTGTATATTACAGTAAAAAGTTATTTCAAAGTTTCCCCCACAGATAAAGCAAGTTTTCAGTTTTGTTTACCATTCTCATTGCTATAGTTCATCAGCATGCCACAAAAGACAGTCAAGAGCTTCTCATTGGCGGGATCTGTTACACTGCACAGCGACCTTAAATGGTCAATTACAATCTGTGCACCACCTGCTTGGTCAACTGCACTTCTGCCCTCATCTGTAAAACAAAGAGTTAAATTAAAAATAAAATAAAAGAAAAGAAACGTACCTTACAATTTCAAATACAAAACATAAACACTGTTTGTAATTCTTTACTCAATGATTTGAAAATAAACCTATTCGGGGTGACCAAATGTCTTGCTGGAAATCAGACAGAAGAAAAAACAAAACAAAGAAACATGGACATGGAAGTGGGATGGGGCAGAGACGATCAATTTCTGAGAGGGAAGCAAAGAGTATCCTCACTGGTCTAAAAGGGGAGCTTAAAGGACTTCGGAGTATCCGTCTTTCACAATGAAAAGGCAGGGAGAAGATGACTGTCTCCTGAGGGGACAGGGTTCCTGAGGAGGAGAACCCAGGGCTTACACAGGAGAGGCAGGAGCTCTATCACAGCGCCATGTCCAAAGCCTCCTAAGCAGTATTAGCTGGTGAACGTGCTTGTTCCTTAACTTGGAAAACAGTTAAGTATGTTTTGTGTTTTTCAAAGTCTGTTGTCAGAGAAAAGTGGCTGGAACACAGTATAATACTGAGTTATAATATACAATTACTGCACACCAGTGCTAGGGTCTCGCAGCGTTTCCTGTCATCCAAAAACATTCTTTTCACTCTCGACTTGTGCTTTATTTTTTCCTTATCGTCTCTCTTCTAGCTTACACTACGATGTTTCAACTTTTAAGTGGTGGTCAAACATCCTTGTGAACCTACAATATACAATGCCATTCAGTTGGCATGCTGAAACATGCCAACAGCTTTAGAGTACTTTCCAACCTTTGAGCATAGGAATGGAAAGAGTTAAAAGAGATATGTACCTTCTAAAATATGTTCTCTTCATATAAAGACAGTCTACAGAGTAGTGCTGTCCAACAGAATCATGACAGTAACATATGGAAGCCACATGTATAATATGAATCTACCAGAAGTCACATGACAGAGTAAAGTAAGGTAAGGAATACATTTTAATTATGATTTTATTCAACCAGAGGTCTAAACTATTATCATTCTAACAGGCAATCAATGTTATTTGTGAAATATTTATGTTCTCAATAATACATCTTCCAAATCTAAGCATTATTTTACCCTAAAGATACTTCTCAATACCAATCACAACTGGATGTCATGATAGATAACTCAGCTATAGGAGCAAAGCGGTAAGTACCAGAAGCATCTCACAAAAGAGCTATTGCTAAGAAGTTTTCTACTGATAAAAGCACTGGATTACGTGATGCTCAACCATCTGATGATATGAAACTTAATACACCATTTCTTTTGGCATAGACATACACACACAGAACACACTAACTTCTTAATTAAAAACTTAAGATTAAAATTATATTAGAATGTAAATAATTTCATTTATCTTCATACCATGTCCTAATAATTATACTATTACATAGATGTACAGCAATGCCCTATGCTAAACAGCTAAGTCTTCAGAAAACTATACACCTACAGGGTAACTAGTCAGAAGAACTGGCTGAGAATGATGTATTCTTAGAAATTAAAATTCTAGAGATAGGGAGATTGATCAGTGGATAATTACTTACTGTCCAGTTTGTGGCTTAGATTTAGAATCCCCAGAGCCCACATAAATGTTGGATGGGCATAGCAGCCCACCTTTAATTCCAGCACTCAGAAGGTAGGGACAGGGGATTCCCTAGGACAAGCTGGCTACCTATACTAGCCATATAGGTCAGCTCTGCGTACGAGTGAGAAATCCTGCCTCAATGAATAAGGTAGAGAGAAATAACAGAAGATAGCCAATGTCAACCTCAGGCCTCCCCGTGAACACATCACAGACACTCAGACACACATACACATCATATACTTATACACACACACACACACACACACACACACACACAAAACTTTCCAGCTAGGTATGGTATACACTTGTAACCTAGCACTTAGGAGATTGAGGCAGAAGGACTCCAAGTTCTAGCCAGCCTGCTCCACACATCAAGACCCCATCTTAAAACAAAAAGCATATATACCTTCTAGTAACAAAAGTGTAAAAATGAGTCAACATGTATGTGATGGTATTTCAGAAAATGAATGCTAAGAGTTAACAATATAAATATTTACTATATGGATATACAGTATATCCCAAACAAAAGTTTACAAAACTCAGAATTTGACTTCAGTGGCTGAGTAGATGTGAGCTTTCAAAATATAAATTGTGAATGCCAAAGAAATCTTAAAAAAAAAAAATTACCTACAATAAGCCTTAGTTTCCTAGTACACAAAACTATGTTGAGCCCATTTAATTAATTAATGGGTTCAATGCAATCCCCAACAAAATTCTTCACAGAAATCTTTAAAAAATATCAATGTTATATGGAAACACAAAAAAAAAAAAACTTAGGATAGCTAAAACAATCCTGAATAATAAAAGAACTTTTGTGCCTGCCGGTATCTGAAGGGAGACACTAGAGGAGTGGTGGATGGGGGGGGGGGGGAATGAGGAGAGGTGGGGGAGAGAAACTGGGAAGGAAGAGGGGAGGGAAAACTTTGGTATGTAAAAACAAAAGATAAATTATAAAAAACAAAACAAAACAATCTTCTGGAAGTATTGCCGTCCTTGATCTCAAAGTGTACTCCAAAGCTATGATAATAAAAACAGCATGGTACTGGCATAAAAACAGAAACACTGGTTAATGGAATCAAACTGAAGATATAGATATAATTCCACACACCCCTGAATACCTGATTTTTGGCAAAAAAGCAAAAATACAAATTTGACAAAAAGACAGTATCTTTAAAAGGTAGTGCTTGTCAAACTAAAGGGCTGCCAGAAGAACCCAAACAGATTATACTTATCTGCTACATAAAACCCAACACCAAACGATCAAGACCTCAATGTAAGACCAGATACCCTGAATCTGATGGGAGAGAAAGTGAAGAATAGGTCTCAACTCAAGGACTTTCTGAGCAGAGTATCAATCATGCAGGTATTAAAATAAAATTTATTTCAATTAGTAAACTGAAACTTCATAAAGCGTAAAGTTTCTGTTAGGTAAAGGACACCACTATTCAGGCAAAATGGTAGCCTACATAATGGGAAACATCTTTACCAGTTATGTCTGGTAGAGGATTAGTATCTAAAATATATAAACTAAAAAACCTGAACATCAAGAAAACAATTTAAAATGGGGTACAGAGCTAAGTTGAGAACTTGCAAAAGATCAAACACAAATGTCTGAGAAACACTTAAGAAATGTTCAACATCCTAGTCTACCATGGCATTAAAAATTAAAACCACTTTAAAATCGGCCGAAATCAATAAAACACATGACAGCATGTTCTGGTTAGGATGCCAGGAAAGTGAAATAATTATTCATTGCTGGTGTGAGTGCTAACTTGTATAGTCACTATAGAAATCAGCACAGAGGTTCTTCAAAAAGTTGAAAGCCAATCTACTACAAGATGCAGTTACACCACTCTAGGGCATAAACCTAAAGGACTCTGATTCTTATTACTGAGATGCTTGCTCATCCATGGTCATTCCTGGCCTATTCAAAAGACCATAAACTTATACAAAGAAGGGTTTATGAGAGTTTCTGTTTCCAGAGGGAAGAGAGTTTGTTGCCATGACAGCAGAGAAGTATGGCAGCAGGCAGACCCAGTGACTGGAGTAGCTGAAAGCTCACATCTCCAGCAGGAACCAGAGACCACAGGGTTTCATCTGGAGAAACATAGAATGGCACATGGCTTTTGAAGCCTCAACACCTGCCCCTAGCAACACGAGGCCACACCTCCTAGCCTCCTATGCCTACACAAACTGCTCCACCACCTGGAAAACAAGTATTCAAATGTCCAAGACTATGGGAACATCTCATCCAAACCACCGCAGCTACATGGGCAGCAAGCCTCAGGGATGTCATGTGTCCACCTCCCCAGGGTTGGGATCACAAGATAACACCACCATCTGGCTTTTTTCATGTGTGCTGGGCATGTGACAATCACTTTATAAACAGAACTGTGTCCCTAGCTCCAGAGAGTTCCTCTTACATGTTCAGTGTCTCGTGTTTACAGATGTACTACCTTACTCACTCTGCAAGGGAGGAGGACACTGGCTCTGCATATGCTGTGTGTGTGCACTACAACAAATCAAAGGTAAGAGAGCACAGAAACACAAACACTTCCAAAGTTCCCGACAGCCAGAATAAAAGCTAAGCACAGAGAGGCTGCGCACAGATGGCTCTGCTTCTGAATGGTTTCACAGAGCCAAGAACATGGTGATGTAGGACGTGTCTCTGTATGCTGTGAAGATGTTTTATTACCACTGGCTAATAAAGAAGCCGATTTGGCCAATAGCCAGGCAGAATAGAGCCACGTGGGAAATCCAAGTGAAGACACAGGAAAAAAGCGGAACCCCAGCAGCCAATGGGGAAGCAAGATGTGAGGCAGTAAGCCACTGGCCTTGTGGCGACACACAGATGAATAGAAATGGGTTAATTTAAGGTGTAAGAGCTAGTTAGTAGAAGCCTAAGCCATTGGCCAAATATTTATAATTAATAAATTATTCGGGAACTGGCTGGCAGGAGAGAAACTTCCAGTTACAATAAGGGGCTTGGTAAATTAAGCATCTTGCTTTTATTTTAACTCATACTTGGCTTAAGGAAGTTATGATTGAATATCGCCAGATGGAACTTGGAAAGTCTGAACTCTAATTCACTGTCCTCTTATTAAGTATCTTTTGGAGAAGTATTTTCCTTTCCCACTTAATCTAGGAAAGATGACAGCTCTTTATCCGTTACTGATTCTGAGGCGGCATAGGCTGGGCCCTGGCCTGCAATCCCCTTGCGTTAGCATTCTCAATCCCGGAACCACAGGCATTTGCCACCAAGCCTAGTGGTGGCACTCTAACGTACTGTTGAGTTTTCAGCATCAAGTGAGAAGATGTTTTAAAAGATTTATTTCTGAAGTCATTTGTTCCCTTTTAGGAGATCTTTTTAGGCCATCCAATATTAAGTCATCCTACAGCGGTCAAAAATGTAC